TAATTAGATGATGAGGAATTTGGCTACCTTAAGAGAGTCATAGTTACTCTCGTCGTTTACCCGCGCTCGGTTGAATTTCTTCACTTTGACATTCGAGCACTAGGTAGAAATCACATTGCGTGAGCATCCGCGAGGACCATTGCAATGCTTCATTTTAATTAAACGAGTTGGATTCCCCTTGTCGTACCGGTTCTCAATCGGCCGTTCGACGCTCGAGGAAGGCCCCCGAAGGGGCCGTTCCCGATCCGTCCCTCGGCCGGCACGCGACGGCCTACTCTCGCCGTGGGAGCGGCTCGAGCGGTCCACCGACAGGTCAACGGTTCGGGACTAGGACCCCAGAGCCCAACCCTCGAGCCAATCCTTTTCTCGAGGTTACGGATCTATTTTTCGATTCCCTTGCCTACATTGTTCCATCGACCGGAGGATGTTCACCTTGGAGACTCGATGCGTTATGAGTACGACCGGGCGTGGGAGGCACTCGATCCTCCGGATTTTCAAGGGCCGTCGGGGGCGCATCGGACACCACGTGACGTGCGGTGCTCTTTCAGCCGCTGGACCCTACCTCCGACTAAGTCGTTTCCGGGGTGGGCGAGCTGTTAAATAGTAAAGATAACTCTTCCCGAGGCCCCCACCGACGTCTTCGAACTCCCTAACGTTGCCGTCAGCCGCCACGTCCGGTTCGGGAATTTTAACCCGATTCCCTTTCGAAGCTCGCACGCAAACGCACTTGTCGGACGGGCTTCCACCATCTCTTAGGATCGACTAACCCATGTGCAAGTGCCGTTCACATGGAACCTTTCCCCTCTTCGGCCTTCAAAGTTCTCATTTGAATATTTGCTACTACCACCAAGATCCGCACCGATCGTCGCTCCTCCCGGGCTCGTGCCCCGGGTTTTACAACGATCGCCATGCCCTCCTACTCATCGGGGCACGGCATTTGCCCCGATGGTCGGGTATAGGTCGCGCGCTTCGGCGCCATCCATTTCGGGGCTAGTTGATTCGGCAGGTGAGTTGTTACACACTCCTTAGCGGATTTCGACTTCCATGACCACGCGTCCTGCTTGTCTTAATCGACCAACACCCTTTGTGGGTTCTAGGTTAGCGCACGGTTGGGCACCGTAACCCGACTTTCGGTTCATCCCGCATCGCCAGTTCTGCTTACCAAAAATGGCCCACTTGGAGCTCTCGATTCCATGGCACGGCTCAATGAAGCGGCCGTACCGTCCTACCTATTTAAAGTTTGAGAATAGGTCGAGGGCATTGCGCCCCCGATGCCTCTAATCATTGGCTTTACCGATAGAACTCGCGGCGAGCTCCGGCTATCCCGAGGGAAACTTCGGAGGGAACCAGCTACTAGACGGTTCGATTAGTCTTTCGCCCCTATACCCGAGTCGGACGAGCGATTTGCACGTCGGTATCAGCTGCGGGCCTCCACCGAAGTTTCCTTTGGCTTCGCCCCGCTCGGGCATAGTTCACCATCTTTCGGGTCTCGACGAGCATGCTCTCACTCGAACCCTTCTCGGAAGATCAAGGTCGGTTAGTGGTGCAACCCTCAATGGGATCCCGCCAATCGGCTTCCTTGCGCCTTACGGGTTTACTCGCCCGTTGACTCGCACACATGTCGGACTCCTCGGTCCGTGTTTCAAGACGGGACGAATGGGGAGCCCATAGGCCGATGCCGGAGCACGGCCGGTGCGAGGCACGCCGGGACGGCACTTGCCGTAGTCCATAATTGTGATGACGAGCGTCTCTGCAAGTGTTTCAAAAGCTCGAGCTTGGGCCGCCACCACAATCCGCATCGGTCCATGCCCCGAGCCGATCGACGGATCGGGCGGCACCGTTCCACATCCAACCGGGCGTATCGTCGGCCCCCATCCACTTCCCTCCCGATAATTTCGAGCACTCTTTGACTCTCTTTTGAAAGTCCTTTTCATCTTTCCCTCACGGTACTTGTTTGCTATCGGTCTCTCGCTCGTATTTAGCCTTGGACGAAATTTATCGCTCGATTGGGGTTGCATTCCTAAACAACTCGACCCACACACGGCACCTCATGGTGCAACGGGGTCCGGCCACGATGAGGCTCTCACCCTCTCCGGCGCCCCCTTCCGGGGGACTTGGGCACGGTCCGTCGGCGAGGATACTTCTCCATACTACAATTCAAACGCCACGAGCGCTCGATTCTCAAGTCGGGCACCTCCCGGTTCGCTCGTCGTTACTAAGGGAATCCTTATAAGTTTCTTTTCCTCCGCTTATTGATATGCTTAAACTCGGCGGGTAGTCCCGCTTGACACGGGGTCGCGGCGAGAGCATCCTAGCAAAGTCGATGATGCTCGAGGGTATTGGATATCCTAAAGCGCAACGGGGCATGCGCACGACCGCTTTCAAGGGTTCTCTCAACCACTACTCGTCGTGGCGGCCGTCGCCGAGGACTCGATTTTGGGCCAACCACGAGCGAAAGCACACGCGAGAGACCAATATCCGCCCCCCGCCCTCCTTAGCCGAGAGGGGTTTGGGGGCGACGATGCGTGACACCCGGGCGGACGTGCCCTCGGCCATGAGGCCTCGGGCGCAACTTGCGTTCAAAAACTCGATGGCTCACGGGATTCTGCAATTCACACCAAGTATCGCATTTCGCTACGTTCTTCATCGATGCAAGAGCCAAGATATCCGTTGCCGAGAGTCGTTTAGCTTATCATAAATTGGAGACGCACCCCCGGAGCACCCTTCGGCGACGGGGGCGCGCTCTTCGTACTCTAGTTCCTTGGCGCTTCTCGCGCGGGGTTTGTTTTCGAGCTGCGTCGGGTGCAAATGCACCCGTCCGTGGCCCCGAGGGACGGCGGGGGACAAAAGCCCCCTGCGGCCCTAGCATGCGAGGCCACAAGTTCGCGAGGTCGTTCGCCGGGCGAGGTTTCGACAATGATCCTTCCACGAGTTCACCTACGAAAACCTTGTTATGACTTCTCCTTCCTCTAAATGATAAGGTTCGGTGGACTTCTTATGACGTCACCGACGGCAAGCCGCCTACGTCGCCACGATCCGAACACTTCACCGGACCATTCAATCGGTAGGAGCGACGGGCGGTGTGTACAAAGGGTAGGGACATAGTCAACGAGAGCGATGACTCGCGCTTACTAGGAATTCCTCGTTGAAGACCAACAATTGCAATGATCTATCCCCATCACGATGAAATTTCAAAGATTACCGGGCCTATCGGCCCGAGGCTATAGACTCGTTGAATACATCGGTGTAGCGTGCGTGCGGCCCGGAACATCTAAGGGCATCATGGACTTGTTATTGCCTCAAACTTCCTTGGCACGGAAGGCCATAGTCCCTCTAAGAAGGCGGCCGCGGAGGGTCACCTCCGCATAGCTAGTTAACGAGTCGAGGTCTCGTTCGTTAACGGAATTAACTAGACAAATCGATCCACCAACTAAGAACGGCCATGCACCACCACCCATAGAATCAAGAAAGAGCTCTCGGTAAGGCGCCCCATGTGAGAGAAAGTAGAGAGAGATGCTCTCCTCCCCCAATGGAGATCTTTCCTCAAGTTACGGCGGTGTCGCCTGCGAGCCTCCCCCTTTGATTTTCTATCTTCGTCTCAACCTTCCCCTCCACTCCACCGTCCCTATTCATCTTCTTCCTCCCTCTGTTTCTCTCTCCCCGCTGCCCTTCATTTCTTTCTCTAGTTTCCCTCTCCCCGCTACTCGTCACTTGGGTCTTTTTCCCCTCCGGCCATGGCCAAGAAGAAGAAGAAGTCGCCCCTAAGTCGAAGACCACTCCTCACCGCATAGAACCGGTCCACTGCTCTGGTTGCTCCGGCCACTAGCTCCAAATCTATCTCGATTTTAGTTAGCCCCCCTTAGCGGGTCTAAAGCGGCGACCCTCTCGACCCTGCGGTCGGCTGCTGCCGTGGAAGAGCTCTTCGGTGATGAAGCTTCATGTTCGGATGAAGAAGGGCTGGATTCGATGAGGAAGGCGGCTACGAAAGTTCGAGTTGAAAATTTGGTTTTCCCTCCCACCAAGTTGATTGAAAATTTGGCTTCCCGCCAAAACACTTCTGCTGCTGAAAATTCAACTTTGGATGGCAATTTGGATTCCCGCTAGATTTTTGCAGCTACTGAAATTTCAAGTTTGGGTGGCCATTTGGTTTCCCGCCGAAATTTCCACCCCCCGGTTCTCGCCCAAGCTTTGGCTGGCTCCTACGGACTCGTTTCGGCTCATGCTCCGGCAAAGGGCTTGAGACGTCCGAGCATGTTCTTTCGGGCTCCACCGGGCCTCCATAACATGACGGCCCCCACTCTCCTCCCCCAGCTGCGCTGGGTAACTCTCAAGCCCCCTCTTCCAAATGGCGTGATCTTTTTGCTTCTAACCGTAATGTCGCTCTATGCCCGAAGCTCACTCATTATAGTGCTATAACTCAAAGCAAAACTTGCACTTTGCTTGCCGCTGATTCGCAATGCAAAATATGGAAGTCTTGCACGATTGGTTATGTTGTCGGTAAGTCTCGGGCTATAGGGCTCTTTCCGGCATTATCGAGACTATATGGCAATGTCGAGCTTCGTTATCGATCCATGACTCCGCTGGCTTGTGTATAAGTTTGCCTCCAACGAGGCTAAGCTCTCGATTCGAATGGGGGCCCGTATCGATTTTCGGCCGACCTTTATTGCTCCGACCTATGCCCGAATTCTTTGACTTTTCGCTCACCGAAATGGCACAATTTTCGATTTGGGTAAAGCTTTCAAATTTGCCTCTTAGCTGCTTGGTCCCCTTTATGCCTTTCGAAAGTGGCTAGCTTGCTGGGCAAGCCTATCCAGAGTGTGAACGGATCTCCTTTGCTAGGGTTTTGGTTGAAGTCAACATCATGGAGGAGCTTTCGAAATTCTTAAGTATTGGGTTGCCGAATGGCTCCTCTCTTCGCCGGCAAGTGGTTTATGAAATAGTCCCGATGCACTGCAAGCACTTGTCGAATTCTAGGGCACTCTAATGCTTTTTGCCAAAAGGCTGCTCGGGTGGCCGGCCGGAGTCGGAGCGTCGGCCATGTCGAGAATGCGAGCCTAGGCTGAATCTCGGACGCCTACTATTGGGGGGCTCGGCGGTGCCTACTAGCCTTACGGGCGCTCCTTCGGAGGTCATTCATTTTGACCCTATGGTTTTAGAGGCCGGGGCTGCGACGGGAGATTGGACATTAGTTTCGGGTCGGGCCAAAGACGGCACTCGTTCAATTCGGCGGCGTCGTTCTCGACGGGCTTCGCCCTCTCGGTTGGGGCGGCAATCGGATGAGCGAGTTCGGGGGTCTCATCTAGGTCCTTTGGTTCGGACGGACAAGGGTAAAGCGCCTGCGGTCGCTCCTTCTCGGGTAGAGCTGGCGGATTCCGTGGTTGGCGCGGGCACGCGGCCGGTAACCATTGGGGTACGGGACGGGCGCAACGCTCGGGGGCGGCCTCCGGCGCGAGCATGGGCTCGGTGACTTAAAGCCGTCGGTAGTGGCCTCGGGCGCTAAGGATGGGCCTCTGTTGGCTAGCGCTAGTGCGTAGCCTGTTCTTCTGGCGGCGGCACGCAGCCTGTTCTTGCTGGCGCGCGGCTGATCTTGCTGGCGCTCGGGCCGGGCGCGGTGCGCGGGGGCGGCCCAGAGAAAGCTTGCTTCGCGCGACTCGACCGAGCGGTTGTGGAGGCGAGGCACAACTAATGGGGCTTTGTTGAATATGGTCGATGCTTGGCTTGCTAGACCTTCCGCGAGCTGAAGGGTCTCGGGCACAAGCTCCGGCGCTAACGGAGCGTCGTAAGATAAAGAAGATGAAACGGAGTGCTAAGGGGGCTCGCCCTCTGCGGCGGCCGTATGATTGTCCTCGGTTGGAATGTTAGGGGCCTCGATTGTCCTAAAAAACAACATGAGGTTGCTGGCCTCATGTGTTTGAAGAAGTTAGATGTTTGTGCTCTCGTCGAAACCAAGCTCGGCCTTACAAAGCTAGCTCGCTTTCATCGGTTTTGGCTTAAGCGGTGGAAGCTTGCCTCTAATGCCTCCGAATCCTCCAAAGCTCACATTGCCCCCTTTTGGAATCCGGATACGAGTTTCGGTCGAGCTCTTGGATTTTTCTCCTCGAGGGTTGCATGTCCATATTCACGGCTTTGTTGATCGGTCGCGGTTTCATGCCACCTTTGTTTACGGTCTTCACACGATCTCAAATCGTCGTGAGCTCCGGACGAATCTTTGGGCACGGAATCCTACTAGTCGGTGGTTTGTTCTCGACGACTTCAATTCTATCCTTTCTCTAGAAGACAAGCATAACGGAGTGGTGGGGTCTAATTATGAGTCTTTCGATTTTTGCTCTTGTTGTTTGGATGCGGGTCTACGGGATCTAGCGTATACGGGCAGCCGGTTCACTTGGAATAGCGACGGTGTTTGGACCAAGATTGACAAAGTTCTCGCCAACCCCCTCGGCCCGTTTCCTCTCTGCCTATTTCGGTCCATTTCGGTCCGCTTGGGGCTTTTTCGACCATGCTCAAGCTTGGGTTCGGATTGATAGTTCGCCTCCTCTCGGTCGGAAGCCGTTTAAATTTTTTAACATGTGGGCTCTACATGACATTTTCCTCCCGATTGTTGACGGCCACTTGGGCACGTGGTATTCATGGCACCCCGATGTTCTCTCTCTGCCGCAAGCTTAAGGCTCTAAAGCGGCCTCTACGTGAGCTCGATAAGCTTCACTTCGGTCATATTTCTAAGCACGTTGCTCGAGCACAAGATGATCTTGAGCGTCTTCAACAAGCCTTACGGTCCGACGGAGATAATGTCCGCCTTGTTGAGCAAGACGAGCGGCACCGGGCGGCCTTGATCAATCTCAAGTCGGCGAAGAAAATGTTTTACGGTCGAAGCTCAAATGCCGGTTCCTTGAAGAGAGTGATAGAGGCGGTCGGTTCTTCCACTCCCTCATGACCCAACATCACAAGAAGAACTTTATTGTGGCTATCGCGGATGATGAGGGTCGGCTCACGACTTCGCTCTCCACCGTCGGTGACACTTTTGTTAGATATTTTTAGAGGCTTCTTGGTACTGCTCGAGCTACCACTCCTCTAGATGTCGAGGTTGTTTCTCGTGGGCCTTGCCTTGATTCGAGCTCTCATGAGCTTCTCCTTGCGCCCATTGCGATGACTTAATCCATAAAACTCTTTTTGGTATCGGCAACGATAAAGCCTCGAGTCCGGATGGTTTCTCGTCTTCATTTTTCAAGACGACTCGGGACATAGTGGGGGTCGATTTTTGTGCTTGCCATCAAAGATTTTTTCTCCTGCGGTCGGTTGCTTAAACGGGTTAACCACTCGGTTATTACGCTCATTCCGAAATCGGCTCATGCTTCCTCCCCTTCGGACTTTCGGCCAATTTCTTGCTTGCAATGTGGTTTACAAAGTCATCTCAAAAATTCTCTCTTCCGGGTTAGCGAGTGCTTTGGTCGACATCATCGGTCCCATGCAAAATGCTTTCTTAGGTGGACGGAAAATGTCGGATAACATCCACCTTCTCCAAGAATTGCTCGACATTATGGTCGAAAGCGTGCCTCGCTTCGGTGCCTTCCGAAAGTGGACTTCAAGAAGGCTTTTGATTCTGTGCAATGGTCCTTTCTCCGTAATCTTCTTTTGTCGCTTAGCTTCCCGAGTACTTTTGTCCACTTAATCATGGCTTGTGTGGATTCTCCGTCCTACTCGGTTTCGATGAATGGTTGCTTGTTTGGTTTTTTCGCGGTAAGGGCGGGATTCGGCAAGGCGACCCGCTCTCCCCTTACCTCTTTATAGTGTGCATGGAGTACTTCTCTCGCATGCTCCTGTCTGCCTCGAATATTGCTAGTTTTCATTTTCATCCGCAATGTGAACTTCACCGAATCGGTCACATTGCGTTTGCCGATGATGTTATGCTTCTTTGCCGTGATGATCGGGTTTCGGTTCGGTGCTTGACGCAGCAGATTCAAATGTTCGACGGGGTCTCGAGTCCGACCATTAATTCGTCCAAGTCCTCGATTTACTTTGGAGGCATAGGAAGTTCTCCGAAGTAGGCTCTCCTCCAAGATACGGGGTTTTACGAAAGCACATTCCCCTTTCGTTACCTTCGTGTCCCTCTCGGTCCTCACCGTCTCTTAGCTAGCCAATTCTCCCCTCTTCTGCGGAGCTTAGAGTCCGCGGTACAATCTTGGATGGGGAAACATTTGTCTTACGGCGGCCGACTTGAGCTATTGCGCTCGGTGTTAGCGAGGATTATTCACTTCGGCTAGCAATTTTTCCTATTCTAGCGGTGGTTCTCTCCCGCATAACTAGTATTTGTCACAACTTCCTGTGGACCGGGGACTACAAGAGGGGTCATTCGGCCTTGGTGGCTCGGTCTCGGATTTGCTGGCCGAAAGCGGAAGGGGGCACGGCGCTATGGCATCCGCCTACTCTCGACCGGTGCTACCTTGCGCGTCGGTCGTGGGACATTCACCGCAAGACAGGCTCTATTTGGATCCGTTGGGTTCATCACTATTATCTAAGAGATCGATCGGTCTTGCGAGTGCCAAGTGCGTCAATCCGCCTCTCCCACTTGGAAGGCACTTGCTCTCCACACGTGATAAGTCTGCTTGGAAAATTCGAGGTTAGCTCTCGGGTGGAGGTGCGCTTCGCCACTTGGGGCCTCGCCAAATTCATTCATAACGCCTACCAAGACCTTCGCACGGCGGGCCATCTAGTTAAGCTGGCATAGAGTTATGCGGGAGCGAGTGGGCCTTGCCACGACATGCTTTTGTTCTTTGGTTGGCCGTTCAAGGGAAGCTCAAAACTATAGATCGGCTACGATTTATTCCGGCGGATGTTCGTTGTGTCCTCTGTCGGTCCGCTCCGGAATCTCACTCTCACCTGTTTTTCGAGTGTTCCTAGACCGCTTGCCTGCGGGCGTTAGTCGGGCACTGGCTGCGGATTCGTCGACATATGACTTCGTTGCCTAGCGCCATTCGGGGCCTCTCTATCCGTCGGAACAACTTGCAAGCCCGTATGCGTCGACTTTCATTAGGGGTCATTGTTTACATTATTTGGGAAGAGCGGAACAAGCGCTGTTTTGATGAGTCTCACTCTCCAACCCCAATTGATCGGGCTTTTTGCGGATTTCAAATTCGTTCTACATGATTTTTCACTTTCATGAGAAGGATCACGGTCTCCTCAATGTTGGTTGACCATTCCCTATTCGTTGCCTCGGCACGGCTCTTTGGCTCTGCCTCCGCGATCTGCTTGTCCGGTCTCGGCGCTCATCATTGCTTTTTGGTTTTATCGGCGAATGTTTTTGTATGCTTGTAGAGCCTATGTAAATGGTTCCAGTTAGCTAGTGTAGGGCCTCTAGCTGGTTGTTCTTGGAATCTCTCTTATTTGTTTCCTTGATCAACCTTCTAGCTCTAGTGCTTTTGCTTTGTGTTTTTGGGAGCATGTTCCCGCTTTTTGTACATTTGCATATTGTGTCTCCGGCTGGTTTTCCCGACTTGTTTCTCTTTGATTAATATACTTACATTTTAATAAAAAAAAAGAAAGAGCTCTCAATAAGAAAGAGCTCTCGGTAGTAAGTCGGAGAGAGAAGGAAGAGAGAGATGCTCTCCTCCTCCCCAATGGAGCTCCTTCCCTCCGGACCATACTTACTACCATTTATACTCGCTTTGATTTTCTTACTTTGGTTCACACTCGTGTCTTTCCCCTTTTTCTCCACACTATTCTCTCTCCTTAATATTCTACCTCTTTCTTAATGGCTAAGAAGAAATGGAAATCGATCACTCACAATCCCAAGGTTCGTCGCTGGGCGAGACTGCGAGTTCCCCATTCTTGCCCTAGCAGACTCCGGCGACGCCTATCCCACTCCATCGGGAATCGGTCCCCCCATATCTCCATTCCACTTCGCCCTAGATAACAAATGTGTCAACCCCGCCGACCCTACTTGTCCCCGGTCCCAAGCACCTACTTCTAGACACGATTCTATTGTGGTGGAAGACTGTTCGGATGGGGTAGACCTCGGTGAAGAGGAGGTGGACTATTCGGATTCCGAGGTTGAGCACGTGTCCCCATCCCCGCCTCCCAAAACCACTTCTCCTCCCTTACATTCGGTGGAAGCGGTCGACTCTTGCCAAATTGCTGCTGCAACACGGCTCCACTGCCACCCTCCATCTTGCCACGACCCCACCATCCTTATCGAGGTCGGGATGGACCCTCGACCTGCGGCTCTCGACGCATCCACAATGGCGGCGACTAGGTCAATTCCTTCTCCGGCAGGCAAGTGGCGAGATTTATTTGTAAGTAACCATAACTCAAACCTCTACCCTAAACTATCACATTTTATAACTATTACTCGAATCAAAACAATGCACTTTGCAACCTACCGATACTCACTCGTGAATTATGGAAAGTATGCCTTGTGGGATATATTGTTGGAAAGTACCTAGGATTTAAAGCCCTCAATGGAATTATCAAGGA